AAATTAACTACTGCTTTACCATACCTCCTTTATTCTTTAGATCATTATATGGATTCTCAGGGTCAAGGTCTTCTAGTCAAAGGCCATTAGGGACATGGCTGTCGATAACAAAATTGGGTTCATGGACTTCTTGTATCCAGAGAAAATGCACACTATTGGAAACTGCGGTGTCTCAGGAAAGGTTGTTAGTCAGGAATTATATATACTATAAGATTTGTGCTCATGTTAGGTAATTTGAGGATAATATTCCAGGAAGTAGGGCTTTGCAGAAACAAATGTGGTTTTTAGTTCTTCTAACAGACTCTGAAAACAGGGACCCAGATTATCGTACCCAAGCAATGAAAATATGTCCCCCCAAATTTGTGTGTTCTTTTCTAGCTGTCCAATAGGCTTTCCTCCCACAGTCATGGGCTGCTCCATAGTATTTATACATGTGCAGCAAGAAGTGGTTAGCACAAATTTCTCTTTAGCTAGCTAAGAAGAGATTTAAGGCTACGTGATAATCCATGACAACTCTGCCTTACAAATTTAAATTTAAACCTAGGCTTCCAGAGCAGTAGTAGTATAATTTATGACTTTTTTTCAGGCTCAGAGACAAGTTTTAGGTGATACTTTCCAGCTGTAGCTGTGATTGCTTGTATAGTGTCATTTTTAAGTGTCAACTTGACTGGATTAAGGAATACCTGAATAACTTGTAAAGCATGACTTCTGCGTATGTCTGTGAGGGTGTTTCCAGAGGAGATTATTGTATAAAATCAGTGGACTGTGTGGGGAACCTCTGCTCTCAATCGGTGGGCACTGTCTAATTGGCTTGGGGCCAGAATAGAGCAAAAAATAAGAAAAAGGGATTTGCTCTCTTGCTCCTGGAGCTGGGACATTCTTCTCCTTCTGCCCTTAGACATTAGAACTCCAGGCTCTCTGGCCTTAGGACTCCAGGACTTTCACCAGTGGGTCCCCGGGTTCTCAGGCCTTCAAACTCAGCCTGAGAATTACACCTGGTTCTGAGGCCAACTGAGGCACGCTGTTAGCATTCCAGGGTCTCTAGCTTGCAGATTGCCTGTTGTGGGACTTCTTAGCCTCCGTAATTGTGTGAGCCAATTCCCCTAATAAGTCTCCTCTCATCTAAATATCTATCTATCTATCTATCTATCTATCTACTTATTATGTATCTACCAATTATCTATCATCTGTCAATCATCTATCAATCATCTATTATCTATCGATTATCATCTATCAATTACCCATCATCTATCAAATATCTATCATCTATCTATCATCTATCAGTTATCTATAATCTATCATTTATCTATCAATCATCTATTATCTATCGATTATCTATCAATTATCTATCATCTATCTATCATCTATAATTCTATAATATCCTATTGGTTCTGTCTGTCTGAAGAACCCTGACCAAAACACATAGTATGCAACACAAGAATGCAGCCCTCTGTCTGAAGAGTTATCTCAAGTAGACTGTGCTTGAGTTTTTTGGAGATTTCTTTGCATTCTTTTTAGGGAAACAACATCCACTGGAGGGGTGGTAGTTTTAAACAACTGAAATTCTCTAACAATTTTCCTGAATACACAGGAAAGTTAGTGTGTGGCAGGTGACCGTAAGCCTTATGTCCACATAAGAAGGACTGTCCTGGTGAAGCAGAAACTGTATTAATATTGGCAATTTAAAAATCGTTAATTACAACAGGAATTCACCATTTTCTATATTTGGTCGTGGTGGAGGCAGTGTCACTAGAGATGGGAAAATTCCTTCAGTGAAGTCAAACAAGTCCTGCTAAGCAGGCTGGAGTGTCTCTGAAGTAACTGTTTTTACCCAGGATAGGCCCAATCTTTGTTCTCACTCCTCAAGGATTAGAGTTTGTTGATAGGCTTGTAAGGACCTCAGCAGATGTATTTTTCTGGAGTGCAGTGGTGCAATCACGGCTCACTGTAGCCTCGACTTCCTGAGTTCAAGCAATCCTCCTGCCTCAGCTTCCCAAGTATCTGAGACTTCATCTATTTTATAGGTGTTCTTGTAGTGTCAGGAGACCTCTTCTTCTTCTTTTTTTTTTTTTTTTGGTTATACTTTAAGTTATGGGATACATGTGCAGAATGTGCAGGTTTGTTACATAGGTATGCAAGGGCCATGGTGGTTTGCTACACCCAACAAACCATCATCTACATTAGGTATTTCTTCTAATGCTATCTGTCCTCTAGCTGCCCACCTGCCAATAGGCTCTGGTGTGTGATATTCCCCTCCCTGTGTCCATGTGTTCTCATTGTTCAATTCCCACTTGTAAGTGAGAACCTATGGTGTTTACTTTTCTGTTCCTGTGTCAGTTTGCTGAGAATTATGGTTTCCAGCTTTATCCATATCCCTGCAAAGGATATGAACTCATCCTTTTTTATGGCTGCATAGTATTCCATGGTGTATATGTGTCACATTTTCTTTATCCAGTCTATCATTGACGGACATTTGGGTTGGTTCCAAGTCTTTGCTATTTTGAGTAGTGCTGCAATAAACATACTTGTGAATGTGTCTTTATAGTACAATGATTTATAATCCCTTGGGTATATACCCAGTGATGGGATTGCTGGGTCAAAAGGTATTTCTGGTTCTAAATACTTGAGGAATCACCACACTGCCTTCCACAATGGCTGAACTAATTTACATTCCCACCAACAATGTAAAAGCATTCCTATTTCTCCACGTCCTCTCCAGCATCTGTTGTTTCCTGACTTTTTAATGATTGCCATTCTAACTGGCATGAGATGATACCTCACTGTGGTTTTGATTTACATTTTTCTAATGACCAGTGATGATGAGCTTTTCTTCATATGTTTCTTGGCCACGTAAATGTCTTCTTTTGAGAAGTGTCTGTTCGTATCCTTTGCCCACTTTTGATGGGGTTGTTTGCTTATTCTCGTAAATTTGTTTAAGTTCCTTGTAGATTCTGGATATTAGCCCTTTGTCAGATGGATAAATTGCAAAAATTTTCTCCCATTCTGTAGGTTGCCTGTTCACTCTGATGATAGTTTCTTTTGCTGTGCAGAAGCTCTTTAGTTTAATTAGATCCCATTTGTCAATTTTGGCTTTTGTTGCCATTGCTTTTGTGTTTCAGTCATGAAATCGTTGTCCATGCCTATGTTCTGAATGGTATTGCCTAGGTTTTCTTCTAGGGTTTTTATTATTTTACGTTTTATGTTTAAGTCTTTAACCTATCTTAAGTTAATTTTTGCATAATGTGTAAGGAAGGAGTCCAGGTTCAGTTTTCTGTATATGGCTAGCCAGTTTCCCCAGCACCATTTATTAAATAGGGAATCCTTTCCCCATTTCTTGTTTTTGTCAGGTTGTCAAAGATCAGATGGTTGCAGATGTGTGGTGTTATTTCTGCAGCCTTGGTTCTGTTCCATTGGTCTATATATCTGTTTTGGTACCAGTACCACACTGTTTTGGTTACTGTAGCCTTGTAGTATAGTTTGAAGTCAGGTAGCATGATGCCTCCAGCTTTGTTCTTTTTGCTTAGGATTGTCTTGGCTATATGGCATCTTTTTTGGTTCCATATGAAATTTAAAGTAGTTTTTTTTCTAATTCTGTGAAGAAACTCAATGGTAGCTTGATGGGGATAGCATTGAATGTATAAATTACTTTAGGCAGTATGGCCATTTTCATGATATTGATTCTTCCTATCCATGAACATGGAATGTTTTTCCATTTGTTTGTGTCCTCTCTTATTTCCTTAAGCAGTGATTTGTAGTTCTCCTTGAAGAGGTCCTTCATATCCCTTGTAAGTTGTATTCCTAGGTATTTTATTCTCTTTGTAACAATTGTGAATGGGAGTTCACTCATGATTTAGTTCTCTTCTTGTCTATTATTGGTGTATAGGAATGCTTGTAATTTTTGCACATTGATTTTGTATCCTGAGACTTTACTGAAGTTGTTTGCTGAAGGAGGTTTTAGGCTGAGATTATGGGATTTTGTAAATATACAATCATGTCATCTGCAAACAGAGACAATTTGACTTCCTCTTTTCCTATTTGAATATGCTTTATTTCTTTCTCTTGCCTGATTGCCCTGGCCAGAACTTCCAATGCTATGTTGAATAGGAGTGGTGAGAGAGGGCATCCTTGTCTTCTGTGTATTTTCAAAGGGAATGCTTCCAGCTTTTGCCCATTCAGTATGATATTGGCTGTGGTTTTGTCATAAATAGCTCTTATTATTTTGAAATTATGTTTCATCAATATCTAGTTTATTGAGAGTTTTTAGCATAAAAGGGTGTTGAATTATATCAAAGGCCTTTTCTGCATCTATTGAGATAATCATGTGGTTTTTGTCATTGGTTCTGTTTCTGTGGTGGATTACATTTATTGATTTTTGTGTGTTGAACCAGCCTTGCATCCCAGGGATGAAGCCAACTGGATTGTAGTGTATAAGCTTTTTGATGTGCTGCTGGATTCAGTTTGCCAGTATTTTACTGAGGATTTTTACACTGATGCTCATCAGGGAAATTGGCCTGAAATTTTCTTTTTTTTTTTTTTTTTTTTTTTTGCCTCTGTCAGGTTTTGGCATCAGGATGATGCTGGCCTCATAAAATGAGTTAGAGAGGAGTCCCTCTTTTTCTATTGTTTGGAATAGGTTCAGAAGAAATAGTACCAGCTCCTCTTTGTACCTCTGGTAGAATTCGGCTGTGAATCCATCTGCTCCTGGGCTTTTTTTTTGGTTGGTAGGTTATTAATTACTGCCTCAATTTCAGAACTTGTTATTGGAGACCTCTTCTTTTTCAATGCATTTTGAATTCAGGACTAATCCCAAATCAAATGCCAATATCAGTGTATAAGTATTCTTTTTTCTTTTGTCAGCTTGCAGGTCTGAATGAGGGCAATTTACTTTGCCATCTGAACTTATTTAAGTCTAGCTTTACCTAGACTTGCTATCACAAAGTCAGTGACAGCATATCCTACTAGTCAATTTTTACTTTTTGTTTGTTTGTTTGTTTTTTCAGTCTGAACCAACAACAAGCAAAGTTAAATTATGGATATCCAAGAGAGTCTATAGAAGGTCCATGCAAGGTATGGAGAATTCCTCAAAAGAGGTAATCAATCATCAGCTTCTTTTTCTACAGATGAAGGAGAGAGGGTCACTGGATTTAGAGTGTTACAGTGATGAACCGTGATATTTGAAGGGAAACCAACAATTTCCTCAGAGATTAAGTGACTAGCTGAAAAATCTTGAGTTATATCTATCAATAAAACAGGGGAATTATTAGGTTTAGTGTAGACCCTAGAACTAGTTTGACTGAGTCACTCCAGCTTCCACAAGCTTTGCTGCAGCTGCTAGAACTCTTAGACAAGACAACCATGCTGTGACTACTGGAGCTAATGAAAGACTGAAATAAATAATAGATTTTTGATGAGTCCCATGTCATTGAGTCAAAGCCCCTAGTGTTTTTTCAGACTTCTCATGACAAAAAAGTAAAGTGGGGTTGCTAATTGAGAATCTTGGAAAAAGATATTTTGATACACAGTTATTACAGTAATCTTTGTGCTTAAACATGAGCATTCTTTTTTTAACTCAAAAAAAGGGTACAGTCCTTAAAAGATATTTATATTAGCATATTTTACTTAAATATAATTAACTTAGAAAAAATAAAAATATTTTTATCAGCTTTTATTAGTAAGTTTGGTAAATAAAAGAGCTCTCGTAATAATTTTAAATTAATTTAAATTCAAAGGATATTTGAAAATCTAATTATTCCCATTGTCTTTCCTTTCATAGAATGACAAAACAAATCTTGTGTTACCTAATAGCCATTACAGTAAAACCAAAGATAGTGTAGGCACAAAAGACATATTAATAGCTTGATTATTCTGAATTTGGGGCCTGAATTTTGGAAGGAATCAAGAATAGTTGTTCCAGGAGACAAGATGTAAGTCATAAGTATCTAGGGTCCATAAATAATAGACGACATTGTAAAAACACATAGCAATTAACAATAGTCATTAGAAACAACATTTTATTAAAGCAAGGAGTCTTTTTAAAAATGATTTAAAAGTGTCAAAAAGCACTGAAAGTTAACAGAATATTTTATTAACATAAAGAAATATTTACTAATATGGGCATAGCATAACTTAATTTTTGTATATTAAAAAGACTCCAATTCTAACTTTACTCTTTTTATACATCATTCATGTAACATTCTACAGTAGAGAATTTATTAATGTGCCTTTACATGTATACATTTAGGCATACACAGATACGTAAATATGCAAATAGATAATACGTTTTAAATTTTACTTTTTAACTATAGTTTTAAAATTAAATCTATTAGATAAAATAATATATATGTTAAAATAAAATTTACCCTCTGAATAAATGGTTTCAACTTTCCTAATAAACAGAAAATCAGCAGGATATTTATTATTATTTATTATCCTGTATACATATTTGTGTTTCTCTGTATTAAGCATTTATATTAATTATCATCTTTAACCAAAGTAATCAACCTTCCTTTTCTTTAGGCACAAAAGAAAAAGGAAAGAAAACATAACTTACTTAGATATTTTTTTGGTCTACTAGTATTTATTGCATACAATTTAAACAGTTTCAATATGTAAATATATGATGTCATTCAAAGGAATTTGCATATTTTGTTAATCTATTGTCATTTTAAGAAGTAAAGGTAATTGTATTTAATGACTAGTGTTTTTATGTTTCTTATTTAGAAATTGTCTAGGCATCCAAAGGATTATTATCAATTAACCATTTGTCTAAGTCCTTAAAGTTTGTTAAGGATCAGGAAATTACAATTTTAGTTAACAAATTAAATCTTATGATTTGTAGCATTGTAAGAATTTTATAAAAATTATAAAGGCATTTATTATTATCATTCACTTTAGTTTAATACAATTTTATATATATTAAACTAAAATTCTAAATTTAGACAAGTTATAGAAATAGTGGAATCTTGTTGAACTCATACAACCAATGTAGAAAATTCAGTTTAATAAAAAAAATTTAACTCAGGCCTTGTAGAAACCAAAATATTGCACTGACACTAGTTTTTGTATTAAAGTAATTTTTTGAAGACTCTGAATCATGTCAAACATGTAATCTTTTAACTTATTATATAATGCCTGTTCTTCTTTTCTCATAATTATAATAAAGGCTACTATGTAAATATACTGTTAGTGTCCACAGAAAGAAATGCAGTTTAATAACATTTTTTCCCTTTTTTTTCCAGCCATTTTGACTATTTATCTGAACTAGATATCCCTTGAATGTGCACACAAAAAGTGAATGGCTCATTTGATAAGGTAAAGATTAATTTCTGAAGAGGGGGAAAAGAGAAAGAGAGGAGGGGGAATAGAGGGAAAAAAAGAAAGAAAAGGGAACCTGCTGCAGATGAATATGAAATCAACACCAAAAAAAAGGCTAATGATGTTCCCTCTGAAAAGAGAGGGAGGAAGGTTTATATGTAAAAGACTAGATTTTGAAATAAAAAAAGAGTGACATTAAGATTGGTTTAAGCCCTTGGCGATTTTATCAATTAACCAGCACTTATTAATTCCTAAAGTATGGAAATAAAAGAAGGGGCTATCACCAACTTTGAACAAAAGAATCATTGTTAGTCAAACAGAACAATCTTCTCTTGAAGATTTCTTCACTTTTCTAAAGTGCCTCTAAAGTAAACCATCGTGTTTGTATTAAAAGTTCCTCAGCGTGGCCATGGCGATTCCAGATTGTCCTTGGTGAAACTGTGCCCGCTGTAGAGATAAACATGCACATTTGTGTTACAGTGCAGAAATCTGAAAGAAACAGGTATCTGGAAGAAGTGCAGTTTTAGATTGAGTGGAGCCCATCAGATGTGAACTTGTCTGACCTTGATTCTCCGATCTTGAGTCTCCAGAATTTGGGCAAAAGTCAATTGTCTACAATGAGGGCTGAGAAATGAAAAAAAGATAAGACAGAGGAAGTCCTTACAAGTTTTTAAATGGTGACCTGACACAAAGTTTATCCAAACGCCAAAGTTTGTCCAAAGCATGTGAGTCCTGAATTCTCAGTCCCTGGAGCCAGAGGACAGACTTATGGGGACTTGGCTTGTCCTTGCCTTATGGGCTTTTCCTTGTATAAACGAACAACACTCAGGACAATAGACAAATCATAGAACAGATGTTAGAGGCTAGAAAACAATATTTCCGACTGACTAGATTTGCAACAAGTTTTACAGACTAGAAAGACTCTGAGAATCTATTCCTAGGAAAACAAAATAAACACATTGCTGACAGTTCTCAACAAAATATCAGAGCCTGGCCATGAACAGGGTCCCACATGTATGCATCATTACTGAGTCAAGGATACTTGCTTAAGGTAGCAAGGACTTCAGAAGAATCTCATGACACTCCATTTTTGTCAGTCCTTCAGAGCCCAAGACCACCAAAAACACTCCTGTAATGGAACAAGTTGGCTTTATTACTAATAGCAACAAAGCTTTTGAAAGTCTTCTCTCATCTTCCTGAGGAATCACCTCTCCAGGTGTACAGAGACAGTGTGGGTAGGTTGTCAGGAAAGGGAGAGGAAGGAGAGCTCCCCTAAGTGAAAACCTAAGTGTTTTCCTAACCACAAGTACCACTGAGCAGTTTGTAGATGGAATTTTGCAATCAAAATTGCAGGGTATTCTGTTCAAGCCACACCTTTTCTTTCCTCCATTTTGAGATAATTAAAAATTCCCATGCAGATGAAAAAAAAAAATAGAAAAATCTCTTGTATCCTTTCCCCCAATCGTAACATCTTGCAAGACCATGGTATATCAGAACTCGGCTTTGTTTGTGTGTGTGTGTGTGTGTGTGTGTGTGTGTGTGTGTGTGTGTGTCAGAGTCTCACTCCATCAACCAGGCCGGAATGCAACTGTGTGATCACAGTTCACTTAGCCTTGATCTCCTGGGCTCAAGTGATCCTCTCATCTCAGCCTCCTGAGGAGCTGGGACTACAGGCATGCACCGTCACACCTGGCTAATCTTTTTCATTTTCTTTCCTTTCTTTTCTTTCTTTCTTTTCTTTTCTTTTCTTTTCTTTCTTTCTTTCTTTCTTTCTTTCTTTCTTTCTTTCTTTCTTTCTTTCTTTCTTTCTTTCTTTCTCTCTTTCTTTCTTTCTCTTTTTCTTTCTTTCTTTCTCTTTCTTTCTTTCTTTCTTTCCTTCCTTCCTTCCTTCCTTCTTTCTTTCTTTCCTTCTTTCTTTCTTTCCTTTTTCTTCTTTCTTTTTCTTTCTCTTTCTTTTCTTTCTTTTTTCTCTTTCTTTTTTCTTTCTTTCTCTTTCTTCTTTCTTTCTTTTTCTTTCTTCTTTCTTTCTTTTCTTTCTTTCTCTTTCTCTCTCTCTCTCTCTCTCTCTCTCTCATAGAGATAGGGTCTCACTATGTTGCCTAGGCTCATCTCAAACTCCTGCACAGCCCAAATATTGACGTTAATACAGTTATGATGTAGAACATTTCTGTCACCACAAAGGTGCCTCAAACTTCACTTTTTAGCTACCTCTACTTCCCTCCCACACCCACTGCCTTCTTAATCCCTGGCAATTACAAATCTGTGTTCTCCATTTCTATAATTTTGTCAATTTGAAGGATGTTATATAAATGGGATCACACTGTATGATTAGTTTTTATTTTCATATAGCATAGCTCCCTAGAGATTTATTCAAGTTACCAAATGTATTAATGGTTCACTCCTTTCGCTGCCAAGTAGAACTCCGTGGTATGCGTGTACCACTGTTTAACTACTGAAGGCTAACTGAGTTATTTCCAGTTTGGGGCTATCACAAATAAAACTGCAGTAATCACTGACTTATAGGTTTTTATGTTACCATAAGTTTTCATTTCCCTGGGATAAGTGCCCAGGAGTATAATTACTGGAATGCATGGTAATTGCATGTTTAGTTTTTTAGGAAACAGCCAAATTGTTTTCCAGAATGACCATATCGTTTTACACTCTCACCAGCAATGTCTGAGTGATCCAGTTTCTCTGTATTTGGTGTAGTCACTATTTTTTATTTAGCCATTCTAATAAGTATGTAGTAATATCTCATTGTGGTTTTAATTTGCATTTCCCTAATGGCCAATAAGGTTGAACAATTTTTTATGTGCTTATATGCTACCTGTATATCTCCTGAAATGTTTGTTTCTATCTTTTGCCCATTTTCTAATTGGTTTTTTTATTTGTTTGCTTGTTTTACTGTTGATTTTCAAGAGTTCTTTATATATTCTAAATAATTCTGTTTTGATAAGTGATTTGCAAATATTCTGTCCCAGTCTGTAGCTTATATTTTCATCCTCTTAGCAGAGTATTTTGTGGAGCAAAAATTTATCATCTTGATGAGCTCCAATTTATCAGCTTTTTCTTTTATGGATCATGTTTTTGGTGTCAAGTCAAAGAACTCTTTGCCAGTCCTAGATCCCAAAATTTTTTTCCTAAAAATTTTATAATTTTACATTCTAGGGAAAACTAGGTTCTAAGATGGCTGAATAGGAACAGCTCCAGTCTGCAGCTCCCAGTGTGAGCAATGAAGAAGATGGGCGATTTCTGCATTTCCAACTGAGGTACCAGGTTCATCTCACTGGGGCTTGTCAGACAGTAGGTGCAGCCCACGGAGCAGAGCAGGGCATCGCCTCACCTGGGAAGCACAAGGGGTTGGGGAATTCCCTTTCCTAGCAAAGGGAGGCCAGACAGACGGTACCTGGAAAATCGGGACACTCCCACCCTAATACTGCGCTTTTCCAATGGCCTTAGCAAATGGCACACCAGGAGATTATATCCCTCTGACCCACCTGGCTCACTGCTAGCACAACAGTCTGAGATTGAACTGCGAGGTGGCAAATCAAAACCACAATGAGGTACCATCTCACACTAGTTAGAATGGCAATCTTTAAAAAGTCAGGAAACAACAGGTGCTGGAGAGGATGTGGAGAAATACGAATGCTTATACTCTTGGTGTAAACTAGTTCAACCATTGTGGAAGACAGTGTGGCGATTCCTCAAGGATCTAGAACTAGAAATACCATTTGACCCAGCCATCCCATTACTGGGTATATACCCAAAGGATTATAAATCATGCTACTATAAAGACACATGCACACATATGTTTGCTGTGGCACTATTCACAATAGCAAAGACTTGGAAACAACCCAAATGTCCATCAATGACAGACTAGATTAAGAAAATGTGGCACGTATGCACCATGAAATACTATGCAGCCATCAAAAAGGATGAGTTCATGTCCTTTGTAGGGACATGGATGAAGCTGGAAACGATCATTCTCAGCAAACTATCACAAGAACAGAAAACCAAACAACACTTGTTCTCACTCATAGGTGGGAACTGAACAATGAGAACACTTGGACACAGGATGGGGAACATCACACACCGGGGCCTGTCATGGGGTGGGGGGAGAGGGGAGGGATAGCATTAGGAGATATACCTAATGTAAATGATGAGTTAATGGGTGCACACACAAACATGGCACATGTATACATATGTAACAAACCTGCACGTTGTGCACATGTACCCTAGAACTTAAAGTATAATAATAATTTTTAAAAATTTGCATTCTACATGAAGTCCGTGCTGCACTTTAGTTAATTTTTGTATAAGGTGTGAGATTTGGTTCAAGGTTTGTTTTTTTGCCTATGGCTATCCAATTGTTCCAGCGCCTCTGAAAAGCCTGTCTTTCCTGCACTGTATTGTTTTTGCACTTTTGTAAACAATTAGTTGAGCATAGTTATGTGAGTTTGTTTCTGGGTTTGTATTCTTTTCTGTTGATCTATGTGTTTGTCCTTCAGCCAATACCATACAATCTTAATTACTTTACCTATAAAATAAGTCTTGAAATTAGGTGGATTGATTCTTCCCACTTCAATCTTCTTTTTCAAAGTGTTTTAGCTATTCTAGTTCCTCTGCCTTTTCATTTAAGATTTAGAATAATCCTATCAATATCTACAAAAAAAACTTACAAGGATTTTACTGGGAATTGCATAATTTTGTGTATAAATCTGGGGAGAATTGATATCTTTATTCCATTGCCTTCTAATCTATGACATGGCATGTTTCTTTACAACTTTAATTTCTTTCACCAGTAATTTGTAGTTTTCAGCATTCAAGTCCTGTACATGTCTTGTGAGATTTGCACCTGTCTTTCATTTTAATTTTGAATGAATATAAACAGTATTGCATTGTTAACTTCAGTGTGTTCATATGTGTGTTACTAGTATATAAAATATAATTGATTTCCTATGTTTATTTTGTATTCTGCCACTTTGCAAAATTCACTTATTAGCTCTATGAGATTTTCGTTTTCTTTGTGTGTGTGCATGTATGTGTATGTTTGTAGCTCTCTTGGGGTTTTCTATGTAATTATGTCATCTACAAATAGGAAGTATTTTATTTCTTCCTTTCTAATCTATATGATATTTATTTCCTTTTTGTGTTTTTGCCTCATTCCACTGGTTAGAACTTATAGCACTATGTTGAATAAGATCAGTGAGAATGGACATCCTTGCATTGCTCCTGATCTTATGGGGGAGACACTCAGTCTTTTACTATGAAGTATAATGTTATCTATAGGTTTTTTTGTATATGCTCTTTATCAGGTTGAGGAAGTTCCTCTTTACTCCTATATTTCTGAGAGTTTTGATTGTGAATGGATATTGAATTTTGTCATGCACTTTTTAAAATATTAATTGATATGATTACTTGGTCATGGTGTATAATTCTTTTCATATATTACTAAATTGTATTTGATGGTATTTTGCTAAGGATATTTTGCACCTATATTCACAGGGGATATTCATCCATAGTCTTTTGTTTTGTTCTGTATTATCTTTGCCTCATTTTGGTATCAGGGTAATACTTAGCTTCAATAAAATAAATTGAGAAACACCTTTCTCTTCTATTTTCTGGAAGACACTGCATGGAATTGATGTTAATTCTTATTTAAATAGTTGATAGAATTCTCCAGTGAAGCCATCTGAATCTGGAGGTTTCTTTTTTTAGAGTTTTTCAATTAAGAATTTAATTTCCTTAATAGTTATGGGGATATTCAAATTATCTACTTAATGTTGAGTGAGTTATTTTTCATTTTATGAGGAATTAGTCTAGTTCCTCTAAGTTGTGAAATTTATGTTTGTAGGGTTATTCAAAGTTTTTCTCATTATTCTTTTGATGCCTCAGGTATCTATCGATAGTGTTATCTCCTGTTTTATTCCTGACAATGGAAATTTATGTCTGTTCTATTTTTTTTTTTTTTTGTACCTCTTGCTAAAGATTTGTCAGGAGATGTAATATTTTATTTAATATATGCAATTTTTAGTTCATTATTGTCTTCATCTGTTCTGCTACTATAAGAAAGTTACCTGGCCAGGCATGGTGGCTCACGCCTGTAATCGCACACTTTGAAGGCCAAGGTGGTAGGATCACTTGAGCTCAGGAGTTCAGGACCAACCTGTGCAACATGGAGAGACAGCATCTCTACAAAAAAGAAAAATAGCTGGGCATGGTGGCATGCACCTGTAATCAATTGTATTGATTGTTTTCAAATAACCAGTTTTTCATTTCATTTTTTTCCCTATTTTTTTCTGTTTTCAATTTCTTGATTTCTGCTCTTTACTATTTCCTTCCTTTTGCTTGCTTTTTTTTTCCTTGAGGATGGAGCTTATATTCTTATTTCATGACTTTTCCTTTTTGTAATGTATGCATTTAGTGTTATACAGTTTTGTCCTAATACTGCATTTGCTACATCTCACAAATTTATATTTTCACTTTTATTCAGTTCAATATATTTTTTGTTTCCCTTGAGACCTCCTCTTTGACCCATGGATTATTTAGAAGTGTGTTGTTTAGTTTTCAAGTGTTTTGAGGGTTTCCTGTTATCTTTCTGCTGCTGATTTCTAGTTTGATTCCCTTGTGGTTAGAAAACACATTCTATATTATTTCAATTATTTGAAATCTATCGAGGCTTGTTTTATGTCCCAGGATGTGGTTTATCTTGGTATCCATTTTGTGAACACTTAAAAGCTTAAGTATTTTGCTCTTGTTGGGTGAAGTGTTTTATACATGTCAATTTGATCCTGTTTGTTGATGGTGTTTTTAGTTTTTCTATTCCTTTGTTGAGTTTTTGTCTATTTGCTTCATCAATTACTGAAAGAGGTCCTTGAAGTCACCAAGTATCTCTCCGTTCAGTTTTATCAGTTTTGCTTCAGTTTTGCCACTCTGTTGTTTGGTGCATACCCATTTAGAATTGGTATGTCTTCTTAGTGGTTAAACCCTATTATTATTATATAGTGTCCCTCACTGTCTCTGGCAATGTCCTTTGCTTTGAAGTCCATTTTATTTGATACTAAAAGAGCTATCCCTTATTTCCTTTGATTTGAATAGCAAGTATTTTTCCATCCTTTTACTTTCAACCAGCCAATACTGCTATTTGAAGTGTTTGTTGTAGGCAGTACATAATTGGATCATTTAAAAAATATATTCCATTCCTCTATCTTTTAATTGTAATAAATTTAGATTACTTATATTTAATGTAATTATTGATGAATCAGGGATGTCTGCCATTTTATTTTTTGTTTTCTGTTTTTATTGTTTCTCTTCTTTTTCCTGCCTTGTTGTTGGTTATCTGAATGCTTTTTAGAATTCCATTTTTATTTATCTGTAATGTTTTTGAGTGTATCCCTTTGTATATCATTTTAGTGGATGCTCTAGATATTTTCTCTCTATATATATATATAAAGATATATATGTGTATATATATATAAAGATATATATGTATATATAAAGATATATATATGTAAAGATATATATGTGTATATATATCTTATGATAGTCTATTAGCATCATCATTCTACCAATTCAAGTGAAGTATAGAAAACTTATTTCCTCTTACGTCTCTTTACCTTCCCTCATTTATAATATAATTGTCTTAATAATTCCTCTACATCCATTTAAAACCACATCAGGCAGCATTAACGTTTTTATTTCAAAACATTAAATGTAACTTAGACTCTAAAAGAGAAGGACAGCCTATTGTATTTACACATATTTTGGCTTACCATGTTTTTTCTTATTTTCTAATATTCTAAGATTCCTTCTTTTATGAATTCCTTTCTGCTTAGATAACTTCCTTTAGTCATTATTTGTTGTTGTTGTTGTTTTTAGATGGAGTTTCACTCTAGTTGCCCAAGCTGGAGTGCAATGGTATGATCTCAGCTCATTGCAACTTCTGCCTCCCAGATTCAAGCGATTCTCCTGCCTCAGCCTCCCAGGTAGCTGGGATTACAGGCACCTGCCACTAGGCCCAGCTAATTTTTGTATTTTTAGTAGAGATGGAGTTTCACAATGTTGGCCAGACCGGTCTTGAACTCCTGACCTCAAGTGATCCACCAGCCTCAGCCTCCCAAAGTGCTGGAATTACAGATGTGAGCTACTGTGCCCAGCCTGGTCATTCTTTTAAGATAGGTCTGCTGGCAACAAAGTATCAGTTTTCTGTCTGAAAAAGTCTTGATTTTCTCTTTGTACTTGAAGGATATTTTTGCTGGACATAGAATGCTAGGTTGGCAGGTCTTTTCTTTCAGCATTTGAGAAATGTGCCATTTCCTTCTGTCCTCCACAGTTTCTGATGAGAAATCTGCTATTCAGTAGTTTTAGGCTGCAATATCACAGGGAGGTATTCATGTCAACATGGGCACCAGGTCACAAGTTCCCTAAGTTTGAAGTGTCAACTTCGACTAAACAAATTAATGGCTATTCTATATTCAAAAATCAGGAATTTTAAATTTATTATGAAGTGTAATGCAGCATATATTAAAGACTTAACCAGCGTTTTAAAACCCAACTTTCAAAGAAAAGATAGTATTGCTCCCTGTTTCATTAAAACCTAGAGAGATGTAATCGGTAAGCAAGAAGGAAAAAGGGAAATTCACAAAGTAACTTTTTATGTCTGTTTCTTTTTAACCCAGCATGGAAAGAAAATTTATGTCCTTGCATCCATCCATCTCCGTATCAGAAATGGAACCAAATGGCACCTTCAGCAGTAACAACAACAGCAGAAACTGCACAATTGAAAACTTTAAGAGAGAATTTTTCCCAGTTGTATATCTGATAATATTTGTCTGGGGAGTCTTGGGAAATGGCTTGTCCATATATGTTTTCCTGCAGCCTTATAAGAAGTCCACATCTGTGAATGTTTTCATGCTAAATCTGGCCATTTCAGATCTCCTGTTCATAAGCACGCTTCCCTTCAGGGCTGACTATTATCTTAGAGGCTCCGACTGGATATTTGGAGACCTGGCCTGCAGGATTATGTCTTATTCCTTGTATGTCAACATGTACAGCAGTATTTATTTCCTGACCGTGCTGAGTGTTGTGCGTTTCCTGGCAACTGTTCACCCCTTTCGGCTTCTGCATGTCACCAGCATCAGGAGTGCCTGGATCCTATGTGGGATCATATGGATCCTTACCATGGCTTCCTCAGTAATACTCCTCAACAATGGCTCTGAGCAGAAGGGCAGTGTCATATCATGCTTAGAGCTGAATCACTACAAAATTACTAAGCTGCAGACCATGAACTATATTGCCTTAGTGGTGGGCTTCCTGCTGCCGTTTTTCACACTCAGCATCTGTTATCTGCTGATCATTCGGGCTCTGTTAAAAGTGGAGGTCCCAGAATCGGGGCTGCGGGTTTCTCACAAGAAGGCACTGACCACCGTCATCATCACCTTGATCATCTTCTTCTTGTGTTTCCTGCCCTATCACACACTGAGGACCCTCCACTTGGTGACATGGAAAGTGGATATATGCAAAGACAGGCTGCATAAAGCTGTGGTTATCACACTGGCCTTGGCGGCAGCCAATACATGCTTCAATCCTCTGCTCTATTACTTTGCTGGGGAGAATTTTAAGGACAGACTAAGGTCTGCACTCCGAAAAGGCCATCCATAGAAGGCAAAGACAAAGCGTGGTTTCCCTGTTAGTGTGTGATTGAGAAAGGAAACAAAAGTATAAGGAGTTCTTAGATGAGACCTGTTCTTGTATCATTGTGTCCATCTTCATTCACGCATAGTCTCCAAATGACTTTGTATTTACATCATTCCCAACAAATGTTGATTCTTAATATTTAGTTGACCATGACTTTGGTTAATAACAACGACTTCAAAAATTTTATTCAGTGTATTTTCAGTTGTTGAGTCTTAATGAGGGATACAGGAGGAAAAATCCCTACTAGAGTCCTGTGGGCTGAAATATCAGACTGGGAAAAAATGCAAAGCACATTGGATCCTACTTTTCTCCAGATATTGAACCAGATATCTGGCCCATCAGGCTTTCTAAATTCTTCAAAACAGCCACAACTTCCCCAGCTTCCCCAGCTCCCCTGCCCTCTTCAATTCCCTGAGATATAGCCAACTAACGAAGCTACTGGAAGCCCCAGAGCAGACAAGAAGCACATCCTAAGATTCAGGGAAAGAAGAGGAAGGCTGTCCTATAACAAAGCAACTTCAAGTCCCAAGTAAGGACAGTGAGAGAAAAGAGGGGAGAAGGATTGGAGCAAAAGAGAACTGGCGATAAGTGGGGGAAGGAATAATTTCATTTTGCACTGGGAGAGAGGTTCTAACACACTGAAGGCAACACTATTTCTATTGTTTCTCTCTTGCCGGGGTATTAGGAAGGACAGGAAAAGTAGGAGGAGGATCTGGGGCATTGCCCTGGGAAATGAAATTGTGTATAGAATGGAAGGGGGAGCATCAAGGACATGTATCTCAAATTTTCTTTCTGTCCTTGCTGCAGTTCTCCTTCCCATTAATTCATTGGGATGGAAGCCAAAAATAAAAGAGGTGCCTCTGAGGGTTAGGATTGGGCACTCAAGGGAAGGATAGAGTAGAGGGCAAATTGCAAAAGTGGTTGCACTCCTGAAATTCTATTAACATTTTGGCAGAAGATGAGCAGGGTGATGCTGCCTTACCTTTTGAGATAGTATAGAAAAACACTAGATAGTGTGAGAGGTTCCTTTCTGTCCACTGAAACAAGACTAAGGGTACTACCAACTACTACCACCATGACCACTGTACTGCCAACAATTGAATGCAGTCCCCCTGCAGGGCAGATTATGCCAGGCACTTTACATTCATTGATCCCATTTGATGTTCACACCAAAGCTCTGAGTTCCATGTTACAGCTGAAGAAATTGAAGCTCAGAGAAATTAAGAAGCTTTTTTAAGTTTACACAACTAGTAAGAGTTTTAAAAATCTCTGTGCAGAAGTGTAGGCTGGGTGCTCTCCTCACTGCTATCCTTGTAAACTTCCAGGAAGATTGGTTGAAAGTCTGAATAAAGTCTCTCCTCTCCTACCAGTTTCCTCCCCCTCCTCACTCTCACAAGAAAACCAAGCGTTTCTCTTTAGAGTTGTTGACTCATAGTGCAGTAAAGGGTGGAGGGGATATGGCATTCTGAAGGTAGGGAGGGACTAAGTCAGTCTTCATACTGAGCACAAATCCCAGTACCTTTTCCTTATTTAGCTACCAGAATGATGACAGACTCAAACCCTGTCAAGACAGGACCCTGGAGGATCCACCTATGGGGAAACTGCATTGTCTGAAAAAATGGCTGACAGATACAAACAGTTGAGGATCCTTCAACACAAAAACTGGGTATCTGCCCTATTACTCACCTGACAATGAAGCCCACAATGCAACGAATCCCTTCCACTCACAGCATTTGGTCAACCTGTCAGAGCCTCATTCTCAATTATGAACAACAGTCAATGAACACAATACATTAGAGGGAAAGGCCCTAACACAAAAGGCACCAACAAATAAATGTGAGAGTAGATAGAGACCTTTTGAGTATAACAGGTCCTCCGAAATAAGAGATTAAACCAAGATAGAGAAAAACACAGTAAGTAGGAAATAAGGAATCCGACACAGGTGAGAGTGAAGGGAATTCCCAGGATGTTGGTGTGTAGCAGGCTTAGAAAGCAACTCATTCATGTTGGAGCAGGGCTCTTAAGGGACTCTAGGAGAGATGTCTCCCAGAAAAAAAAGAAATTAATTGATTCATGCACATTGAGAGGGATTTAGATTTCTCTTGCAGAGATTGAGATAAACTAGTGACAAATACATAGAAAAATAAGCAAGTGAAAACACAATACAGTTTTTAAATGATAGAGGAAAAGAAACTTTTGTATTAGAGAGGAAATATAACCATAGTACACTACATGGCTCAGCTGTGAATAATATTTACATAGAGGATAATGTGAATATAGTAGTTCCCCATTATCTGTGGTTTTGCTTTCTGCAGTTCAGTTACAGCCAACCAGTCTGAAAATATTAAATGGAAAATTCCAGAAATAATTCTTAAGTTTTAAAACATGTACTGTTTTGAGTAGCATGTTGAAATCTCACACTATCCCACTCCACCCATGTTCTGGGCATGGCAAAGTGGGATGGTGTGAGATTTCTCCAGTGGATCTACAATGTATATGCTACCCACCCATGAGTCACTTAGTCATTGTCCAGTTGATCAGACCAACTATTGTGGTATAGCAGTGCTTGTGTCAAAGTCACTCTTATTTTACTTAATAATGTCCCCAAAGCATAAGAGTAGTGATGCTGGCAAATAAGATACACCAAAGAGGAGCTGTAAAGTGCTTCCTCTAACAGAAAAGGTGAAAGTTCTTGACTTAATAAAAGTCATGCTTTTTTTAGCATGACTAAAAAAAACATACATGCTGAAGTTGCTAAGATCTACAGTAAGAACAAATCCATCTGTAAAATTGTGAAGAAGGCAAAAGAAATTTGTGCTAGTTTTGCTGTTGTACCTCAAGTTGCAAAAATTATTTATTACACCCCACGGTGTGTAATAAATGCTTAGTTAAGATGAAAAAGTATTACATTTATGGATGGAAGACATGAAGAGAAATGTGTTCCAATTGACAGCAGTTGGGTTTGGTACTATTCGTGATTTCAGGAATCTATTGGGGGTCTTGGAATGCAACTCCCACAGATAAGGGGGCGCTGTTGGAGTGAAATACTGTGATATAACCTGTTTTTCAGGAAATGAAGGGACAAGATGTGCACATGTGTGGGAGAAGCATAAGAAACCTAAGTTGCCATATTCCATCACAGAAAATGCATAATAACTAAAGCTGGAAAATGATGAATAGCTGTACAACCATATTATTTAGCAATAGGAGGTAAATACAGGTAGAAGCAGAAGAAAGAATAGGCAGGGATTACCTCTATGGAGAAGTTGGGGGTGGGAGGATAGGGTGGGGACTTCTCATTTTGAAAACTGTGTAATTGCCTAACTTGTGAATATGTATTTCTGAAGTAAAATAAAAATTAAGTTAAAATTAAATTTTAAAATTCAAACTAATTCTGAGTTGTTTTTTAAAAACAAAAAAGACAGGAAAGGCCATCAGAAATGGAAACTGAACATTGGCAGAAAAAAGGAAAGCAAGAAAGGACTAGAGTTGGATTTCGATTCTTGAGAGAAGCCCATCTAGTCCTGCCATGGGAGACAAGTCCTTTCTTGGGGTGAGGAAAGTCACTTTCTGGGATTAGAGGAGATCTGATATGTTACTTGGGATATTTTCAGTTGCAAGTAACAGAAAACCCAACCCCAAGTGGCTTACATAATAAAGGAATTTGATTATCTCATATAACTGAAATATACCAAGGGAAGTTGGACTTCAGGCCCTGTTCAACCAGGGCCTCTGTGGGCCTTCCTCCCCAGATGTTGGCTCTGCCATGTGGGTGAATCCCCTCATGGAAACAAGCTGACTGCAAGCAGCCTGAGGCTACTTCCTTATTTGTTTCTAAAACAAACTAATGAAGAATGGATTACTCTGAATGAGGATGATGACAGTACACACCTAAAGTAGTTGGGGTGAAACCCACTGAAATCTCAGCTGGGAAAGGGGTAAAATGGGGCTTGCAGTGGCCACATATGTACTGCAAATGAGTTGGAGATAGAGCTGCCAACCAGCCAGGCATCCATGCCGGGTGTGGCCTATACCTGAGCAGGCAGCCGGGCAGCTTTGGAGGGTGGGGGTAAATGTGGGCTCTAGGAAGAAGGGCAAAAGTTAAATTTTGAATTTCGATTGTGAAGTCATAGGGATGTTCAATTATCAATGAGAAACCTTAACAATTTTTCAAGGGCAAAATGGCCCAAATAAAGCTGGGAGTAACAGAGCAAACAAGGTCCTTAGGATGAGCAATAAGGGAGGGGTTGTGAATTATTAGTGTCTAAGGTGTGTGTGTGTGAGAGAGACAGAGAGAGATGTAATGACTTACTTTTCCTTTTTCCAGCCAGAGTGAAGCCTCCTATTTGTTGAGATATGTCCTTGGAGAGGAAACAAAATGGAAGTCTTTATTTACCATAGCAAAAGCCAAAAGTGTCCTGGGGTTTTGGACACAGCTCTTTTTGTTTAAGAGAGTGGGTATTTCCTCAAGCAAATACATACATTGTTCAACTGGGAGAAAGGATTTTTGTCGTGTAAACTTTGGTGGAATTATGAGACTGAAACTGCTTTCTCAATGGGGACCTAAGAAGCAAATGCCATTATATTTTGTAACTGTGTTAAATTCTTTATTTTGGATTTGATTAAGCTGATTTTCAGTTTTTTCTGAAGTAGAGATTATGTCAAACTGGCCAAAGATGGGTTAGGAGAGGACATGGCTTTCTATAGATAATTTATTTTTCTGTTTTGAAAAGAATTTGAAAATAGAGACCAATCAGGGGAAAATGAGAGTGGGGAGTGGGCACAGGGGTAACTCTAGGGATGGGTTGATGGAAGATCCTTACTCTGAAGACATCTCATCCCCAAGCAGATGAAGGCACCTGCTTGGGGCTAATAAAAGCCACCAAGAGAAATATAATGAGAAAAAGACTTGTTAGAATGTTAATATGTATTTTAAAGCTCTAATAAGTTTCCTTAAAGTATAGCATTGGCATAAGAATCCACAGAGAGATTAAATAAATAGCTTGGACACAGATGCTAATTTATCTGGGGAGTTTGAAAAGCCTCAGAAGAGGTAGCTGCGTGATGTGCTGAGGAGGCTAAATTCTAAGCCCAAGAACCTCCATCCCCAACCCCTGAAGACCCCTACATCCCAAGTGTGGGGTTACAGCAGGGAGAACCTGCAGCTTAGGTCAGTGGACCAGTGTGTACTGGTGGTTGCCTATCAGAGGAGTCTCCCTAATGAGCTGGCTCATGTATGGCCTCAGGATCTTTGCATAACCTTCAAGTTAGGGAAAAACAAACCATCATATTGCTCACAAATTGGAAAGCCATTGTAACAACCAAGACTGAATTTCCCCGTTAGCTTAATGGGACAGGTGCTTAAAATTTTATATAAATTGATGTAAACTAATGTTCTTTTTTTTTTTTTTTTTTTTTTAATTTTATATTATTTTTTTTTTTATTTATTTTTTTTTTTAATTTATTTATTATTATTAAACTTTATATTGTATTATTAAACTTCAAGTTGTAGGGTACATGTGCACAACGTGCAGGTTTGCTACATATGTATACTTGTGCCATGTTGGTGTGCTGCACCCATCAACTCGTCATTTACATCAGGTATAACTCCCAATGCAATCCCTCCCCCCTCCCCCCTCCCCATGATAGGCCCCGGTGTGTGATGTTCCCCTTCCCGAGTCCAAGTGATCTCATTGTTCAGTTCCCACCTACGAGTGAGAACATGCGGTGTTTGGTTTTCTGTTCTTGTGATAGTTTGCTAAGAATGATGGTTTCCAGCTGCATCCATGTCCCTACAAAGGACACAAACTCATCCTTTTTTATGGCTGCATAGTATTCCATGGTGTATATGTGCCACATTTTCTTAATCCAATCTGTCACTGATGGACATTTGGGTTGATTCCAAGTCTTTGCTATTGTGAATAGTGCTGCAATAAACATACGTGTGCATGTGTCCTTATAGCAGCATAATTTATAATCCTTTGGGTATATACCCAGTAATGGGATGGCTGGGTCATATGGTACATCTAGTTCTAGATCCTTGAGGAATCGCCATACTGTTTTCCATAATGGTTGAACTAGTTTACAATCCCACCAACAGTGTAAAAGTGTTCCTATTTCTCCACATCCTCTCCAGCACCTGTTGTTTCCTGACTTTTTAATGATCGCCATTCTAACTGGTGTGAGATGGTATCTCATTGTGGTTTTGATTTGCATTTCTCTGATGGCCAGTGATGATGAGCATTTTTTCATGTGTCTGTTGGCTGTATGAATGTCTTCTTTTGAGAAATGTCTGTTCATATCCTTTGCCCACTTTTGGATGGGGTTGTTTGTTTTTTTCTTGTAAATTTGTTTGAGTTCTTTGTAGGTTCTGGATATTAGCCCTTTGTCAGATGAGTAGATTGCAAAAATTTTCTCCCATTCTGTAGGTTGCCTGCTCACTCTGATGGTAGTTTCTTTTGCTGTGCAGAAGCTCTTTAGTTTAATGAGATCCCATTTGTCAATTTTGGCTTTTGCTGCCGTTGCTTTTGGTGTTTTAGACATGAAGTCTTTGCCCATGCCTATGTCCTGAATGGTACTACCTAGGTTTTCCTCTAGGATTTTTATGGTATTAGGTCTAACATTTAAGTCTCTAATCCATCTTGAATTAATTTTCGTATAAGGAGTAAGGAAAGGATCCAGTTTCAGCTTTCTACTTATGGCTAGCCAGTTTTCCCAGCACCATTTATTAAATAGGGAATCCTTTCCCCATTTCTTGTTTCTCTCAGGTTTGTCAAAGATCAGATGGCTGTAGATGTGTGGTATTATTTCTGAGGACTCTGTTCTGTTCCATTGGTCTATATCTCTGTTTTGGTACCAGTACCATGCTGTTTTGGTTACTGTAGCCTTGTAGTATAGTTTGAAGTCAGGTAGCGTGATGCCTCCAGCTTTGTTCTTTTGACTTAGGATTGTCTTGGAGATGCGGGCTCTTTTTTGGTTCCATATGAACTTTAAAGCAGTTTTTTCCAATTCTGTGAAGAAGCTCATTGGTAGCTTGATGGGGATGGCATTGAATCTATAAATTACCTTGGGCAGTATGGCCATTTTCACGATATTGATTCTTCCTATCCATGAGCATGGTATGTTCTTCCATTTGTTTGTGTCCTCTTTGATTTCACTGAGCAGTGGTTTGTAGTTCTCCTTGAAGAGGTCCTTTACATCCCTTGTAAGTTGGATTCCTAGGTATTTTATTCTCTTTGAAGCAATTGTGAATGGAAGTTCATTCCTGATTTGGCTCTCTGTTTGACTGTCACTGGTGTATAAGAATGCTTGTGATTTTTGCACATTAATTTTGTATCCTGAGACTTTGCTGAAGTTGCTGATCAGCTTAAGGAGATTTTGGGCTGAGACAATGGGGTTTTCTAAATATACAATCATGTCGTCTGCAAACAGGGACAATTTGACTTCTTCTTTTCCTAACTGAATCCCCTTGATTTCTTTCTCTTGCCTGATTGCCCTAGCCAGAACTTCCAACACTATGTTGAATAGGAGTGGTGAGAGAGGGCATCCCTGTCTTGTGCCAGTTTTCAAAGGGAATTTTTCCAGTTTTTGCCCATTCAGTATGATATTGGCTGTGGGTTTGTCATAAATAGCTCTTATGATTTTGAGGTACGTTCCATCAATACCGAATTTATTGAGCGTTTTTAGCATGAAGGGCTGTTGAATTTTGTCAAAAGCCTTTT